TTCTAAGGTCCCTCCCAGCTCTGACATTCTGGGTTCTAAGGTCCCTCCCAGCTCTGACATTCTAGATTCTAAGGACCCTCCCAGCTCTGACATTCTGAGTTCTAAGGTCTCTCCCAGCTCTGACATTCTCTGTTCTGAGGCCCCTTCTAGCTTTCATAATCTAAAAAATTTGGGTAGTTTTTTTTTAATCAAAGCGCTTTCTCTTCCTCTATCTCCTTTTATCCTTACAAGGAGTCTCTTTATCTCTACTTTACAGACAGAAAACAGGGCCTGCTAGGAAGCACCATGCTTCAGCTCCTGCAGGGTGGTAGAGCTGAACCAGAGTCCCATTGTGCAGCCCTGGGGCTCTGGAACAGGACACGTCCAAGCAGGCCCTTGGTTAAGGGTTTAGACAGGAGGCTGGAGAGAAAGGAGGACTTTGGAAAGCCAACCACCACAGCAGCTTCCCTGAGAGCTTCTGGGCCCTGATACTAGAGCACCCATCACATAATTCTGTCTTAGGGTCAACGAGCTGCTGTTCAGTAGCTCTGTGGCCTCCAGCAGATCATTTCCCTTCTCTGAACCTCAGTTTCCTCATCTACAAAATGGGCCCAATAATACTTTTTTCCCCCAATAATACTTATACTGCTTCCCTCACAGGGTTGTTCTAAAGCTCAAAAAAGCTAATGTATTTAAAGCACTAAATTAATGACAAGGCCATAAATTACTGCTGTTTATTATTCTTTTCCTAGTTCAATATTATGGTTATTCTCACTCTTTTCCAATGAGGAAGAAGGTTCCCAAAATTGGTTCCATCATTTGGTAAAGTTCCAGCTTTTTAATTTCTTCTCCCCTTTTTATCTCTTTCTCCCTTTTCCCTCTTCAGCATCAGCAGTTATGTACATAATGAATAGTGCACTGGACCTGGAGTCACTAAGATCTGAGTTCAAATCTAGCTTCAGACACATACTAGCTGTGTGATTCTGGGCAACTCACTTAACTGCTGTCTGCCTCAATTTCCTCATCTGTAAAATTAAGGTAACAATAGCACCTACTTCACAAGGTTGTCACAAGGATAAAAATGAGATATTTGTAAAGTATTTTAAAGTAAACCTTAAGTACTCTATAAATGCTAATTATTAGTAGTATTATCATCACCACAGAAGGTGGCTGACTGGCCAGTCCCAACCCTCTCATCTTACCTCTAATGCCTAGGGCCTGGGTATGGGGGAAATCAGTCTCCATTCCCTGGGCTCCTGGCAAGCGAGGTCTTATCTGGACTAGCCCCATCAGGACCTTAGAGCTGGGGGCAGTGAGCTCTGGGAGGTGGGCTTAGCTGGATGCAGAATCTCGATGCGGGTTTGTGGAAGGGATGGAAGGTAAGAAGGCAGGATGGGATCTAGGATCCAACCCTTCTTCCCAGGAGCTTGGCCATAGACAGTACGGACCTCTCCTCTTTATCTCCAGGGACTCCTTTGAGACTAAGAAAAGAAGACCTCCCCCCATCCCCATTCAGCAGCCCAGAGGACATGGGAGGAGAACTGACCTTGAACACTCCTGTTTATAGATGTCAATGATATTCTCCACCAGCAGGTTCCTCTGAAGCCCATACACCCCATGCCTGTCCATGATCACCTCATGGCGGCAGGATGGGCATCGGAAGCGGCCTCCTGAAATGGAGCTACCTCGGTTGGACCAGTAGGGGTTTGCAGCCTGTGGATGCCAAGGATAGAGGAGAGGTCTGGGGATTCACCATGTCAGAGAAGTGTCCTTCTCTTGCCACCACCACCCCTTCCCCCAGCCAAGCTTTACTTTACTTCCTAGCCTCCTCTTTCCAAGGAATCTACCTCTGACATTTACTACCTGTATGAACTTGGGCAAGTCACTTGATTTCCCTGGGCCTCAGTTCCCTCATTTGTAAATTTTTAAGGAGAGGTTTGGACTGAATGAGGTCCCTCCTGGCTCTAGATGTAGAAATCTATGATCCTAAGAGTTCTAATGAGGAAGAACCCATTTCACAGATGGTAGGTACAATTGTAGCCCAAAGCAACCAACCAGGGGTAGTATGGTGTACTTGAGAGTCAGGATGACCTGGGTTTGAATTCCACCCAATATACTTCCTAACTGTATGACTCTGGGTAAGTGGATTCATTTTTCTCGGGCTTAGATTTCCATCTCCTAGTGGTTTTTTTTTTTTTCCTGAAGCTCAAATGAGATAATACATTTAAGTATTTGCATTTAATAACTGTCAGCTAGTTAATATCATTTTCTTCTAAATTGGAGACTTCTCTCCCAGGCTAGCATCTGATCCATCCACCCCCAAAACCTTATCCTTCTCTTGAGAAAGGACACCCCCCCCATTTCAGGAACAGCTGTGAACCCTTAGCTGGGGAAGACACTGCCTTCCTGATCACCTGCCCCTTGTCCCAGCCCCTCCCTCTTCTCCTGGCCACCCCAGGGCTCTGGGCCCACTGCCACCCTGGAGCTGGCTTCAGCTGGAGGGGTCTGGTTTCTCTCTCCTCTCTCCTTACCCCCCCATTACTAAAATCAGTTGCCTCTTGGAACTCATTGGTCAACAACTTTATCAAAAGAGGGGGGAGGATGAGAGGATTAGGGGGAGCACTAGTGGAAAAAAATCTTGCGTCATGGAGAAGGGCAGGAGTAGCCAACTGTCTCCCTACCCCCTCTCAGGCCCCACAGGAGGCTTTTGGGGAAGGGCCCACCGTGGGGCGGGTGGTAGGAGCAGTAGGAGATTGTAGGATTTAGAGACAGAAAGAACCAGAGAGATGATCTAGCCCAACTCCCTTGGTTTCCGGAGAGGGAAACTGAGGCCAAGAGAAGTTGTGACCGGCCCAAGCTCATACAAGCAGAGCTGAGATTCTAACCTTGGGTCCTTTGACTCCAATCTGGTGTCCCATGCTGCCTCGTAGAGAAGAACTATGATGACCCAGAGCCTAGCACATGAGGCTGGGCCAGTTTAGGCCCCAAAGTCTCAGGAAGCTTTATATGGGGATAAGGGTGTGGGGGGGGGTGGTTGTTAGGGCCTCCAAGCACTGACCTGAAAGATATCGTTGGCACATTTTCGGCATAGGTTGTGCTGGCAGGGCAGGATGACCACGGGCTTGGTGAACATCTCCAAACAGATGGGGCAAACCAGCTGCTTCTCCAGGTTTTCCATGGGGTTCGAATCATGGATCAGACCTGACTTATAATCCATCCCGTGGGGGAGCAGCTTCTGGCTTCACAAGCACACGCTCAGCAGGCGCCCGAAGTTCCAAAAACCTTTCCCTTGCTGAATGATGAGCTCCTTTCCTCTCAGCTCTTCTCAGACTCTGGGATTCTGTCTTTGTTCATGGTTCCTTGGCTATTTATAGCCAGCCTTGGGTCACATGAGCTTGTAGGAGAGGGGACTGACCAGGCATGCCGATGCCCAAATTGGCCAAGGGGCTGTGGGGGAAGGAGGGAAGGGAGGAGGGTGGGGAGTGGATTTCGGGAGAGTTGAGTTTCCTCCCCGCAAAGCAGCAGCCTTATCACATGCCAGACTGAGCAATCGCTGTTCTCAGGGGATGGGGGCCGTAAACAAGGACAGGCTGTCCGGGTACCATTCAGCGGCTGGATTTTACTTGGAAATCAGATGCCCTGCTCACCTGGACCACAAACTGGTTGTGTGACCCACCTCCTTGGCAGCTGGGCTCAGTGGGTTAATTCTACCCATGCCCTCATGAACACAAGTCTGGGGACCAGTCATGGCATTCTGGGTAAAGTGTTAGAGTCGAGAAGACCTGGATTTATATTCCACCTCGAATATTTCCTATCTAGGTGACCCAGGGCAAATCACTTAATTGCTCTGTGCCTCAGTTTCCTTATCTGTAAAAAGAAAAGAGTGAGCTAGATGAGAGGTCCTAAACCTTTTGTGTGTGTTTCCTAGACCCCTTTAGCAACTGGAAGAGCCTATGGTTACCTGTCTTTTAAATGCATAAAATAATATACATAGGATTACAAAGGAAATCAATTATATTGAAATAAAAATGTACTTCTTTAAAAAAAAATCCAACTTCATGGATGGGAACTTGCATATATCTTTATTTCAATCTTTGAGGGTCCAAGTTAAGAACTCTTGGCCCAGATGGGCTCCGCAGTCAGACTAGATCTGGCATCATGGGACATCAATCAGCCTGTAGTCGTAGAATACTATGAATTTCAGAGTTGGAAGAGACTTCAGAGTGTGTCATGAAACATGTAACTGAGAGGCAGCTAGGTGGTGCAGTGTATAGAGAACCCACCCTGGAGTCAGGGGAACCTGAGGGCAAATCTGACCTCAGACACATGATACTAATTAGCTGTGTGACCCTGGGCAAGTCACTTAACCCCTATTGCTTCACAAAAAACAAAAACAGAACAAAACTGTGTAACTGAGCAGAAATCCCCTCTGCATCACAAGTAACAAACACTCATTTAATCTCATCTGGAACCCCTCCAGTGAAGGTTAGAGAGATTAGGACCAACCGAGGCAACCTCTTCCAGGCCACATTGATTCATCCCTTAACTTCCTGACTCCAAAGACCTCGACAAGTAGAAGCACGGTATAGTGTAAGGAACACAGGGTAAGGGGCAAGAGACCTCACCTGGGACCTTAGGCAAGTCATTTCCCTGTCTGTGCCTCAGTTTCCTCATCTTTAAAATGAAGAACAGATCAGATATTAAGCCTGGAAGAGACTATTAGACTATTCAATGTTAGAACTCAAAGGGATCTTAGAACATAGAATATCAGAACAGAAGGGGCCTTAGAACAGAGAATATCCAAGGTAGGAAGAGCCTTAGAACGTGGAATGTCAGAGCTGGGAGGGCTTTTAGAACATGGAATGTCAGAGCAGAGAGGGCCTTACTATCCATCTCACCTGTTCTCTTCATTTTGTAGATAAAGAACCTGAAGCCCAGAGAAATGAAGTAAGTTGTCCAAGGCAAGTCAGTAGCAGAGCTTCAGCTAGAACCCAGGGATCTGGTAACATGGTGAAACAGAACAAGTGTTAGCCTTGGAGTCAAGAGACCCAGGTTCAAATCCTGACATTGACCAGCAGTGTGATCATGGGTAAGCCACTTCACCTTTCCCTGCCTCAGTATCCTCATTTTTAAAACGGGAAGAATAATACCTGTGCCACTCACCTTGCAGGGTGGTTATGGGGTTGGGAGCCTTACTGCTCTCCAGAATTAGGTGTTACTATGATCCTGACTCCTAATCCAGGACTGTTCCCCAAGGTTCCACACCTTGCACTTGACAGAGTTGAGATGAAACCCACACTATCGTGTCTTCCTTCTGGGCTCCACCAAACTGCTGGGTTTTGCCAGTTTAAATGTTTTCTCGGTCAAGACACATTTTTGGCCTTATTCATGTGCATGTGTGTGGCTCATCTTCCTTTCTTCTTCTTCATAAGGATCCCCTCCCTCACCTTACCCCACTGTACCCTCCCCTCAAGAAGGAGGGTCACTGTTTCTCCCACACATCAGGGGTATTAGTCACCTGCTTCTGTGTCATGCTCTTTGGAAAGTCCATGCTGATCAGAGGATCAAATGTATGGGTCATTGAATCCATTTTCTGGCATTCCTGTGTTCAGGGCAGCTGGTACTGGGTAGGGCCCACGTGGCCTGGATGTGACCCCCGGACGTGATCCCCATGTGCTGGATCAGAAGCCCACTGGGGGATAGGAAAGGGCTTCCTGCCTAGTTCTCGCCATGGCTGGTAGGAGTCACTCTCCTAGGGATCATATATTTTGCATTTTTTGGACTGGATGTGTGATTTTATCGCTTAAGGAGCTCCCAGTGTAAGAATTACTTCTACTCCTACTGATTTGCAACAGGCTTGAGAGTTTTCTGGGGAACAGAGATGTTAAGTGACTTACTCAGTCCACGTTCATGGCTCAGGTGGGATTCACATCCAGGACTTCTGGACTACAAGGCCAGGTCTGGATCCACTATGCTGTGAGAAAACAGGATAGGGACTGAACCTATGATTTCATTGCTATAGGGAACCCCCAGGGGAGGAAACTCCTTCTACCAATGCAGGTTGGCATCTTCTATGCAACTTATAGTCCCAGAGAATTGCATAGAGCACAGAGAGGGTAAGGGTCACAGCCATGATGGGTCAGAGGCGAGACTTGAACCCAGGTCTTCCCGGCTTCAAGGCCATCTTTCTATCCATTTGGCTACATTACCTCCCAAGGAATGTAATGTTCTGTAGAGGACTAAAAAATATGTACAGAGAAGTGTATATGTCTAAAAGATGTAATATATGGTATGTGTTATATATTTTGTATATATTTATTTTATTTCTGTAGAATATAAGCTCCTTGAGGGCAGGTACTATTTTATTTTTGTTTTTGTGTCCCAAGTGCCTAGTACAGTGTCAGGACTTCATGGCTCCTGGAATAGCAATGGGATTCATTCTTCTGTCCTTCCAGTCATAGGATCAAAACATTTGAGAGCTCAGAAAGACATCAGAGGCCATGGGATCTAGTGCTTACTTAGCAGCTATGAGTATTCTGAAAAATGAGGAGTATCTTTCCACCCCTGAAGGATGAGAGAGAGAGAGAGACAGGGAGAGTGAGAGAGAGAGGGGGGGGGGGGGGGGGAGAGAGAGACAGGGAGAGAGACAGGGAGAGAGAGAGAGGGAGGGAGAGGGAGAGAGAGAGAGAGACAGGGAGAGAGAGAGAGAGAGAGAGAGAGAGATAGACAGGGAGAGAGAGAGAGAGACAGGGAGAGAGAGACAGACAGACAGACAGAGACAGAGAGAGACACAGACAGATAGACACAGAGACAGAGAGAGAAGTGAAAAGAAGACTGTGGATATGGACCCCAGCTGGGCACTAATTCCTGTCTTGTGGATCACATCCCCTCTCACTTGCAAGTCACTCTCTTCATCTGTAAAATGAGGGATTTGGGTTAGTTGATCTTTCAATTTAATTCAATTCAGTCCAATAAACATTTATGAAGAGCCTACTATGTGCCCAGCACTGTGCTAAGTACTAGGGATACAAAAAGAAGCAAAAGACAGTCCCTGCCCTCAAGGACTTACAATGTAATGGGGGGGGGGACAACATGCAAACAAATACATGCAAAACAAGCTATATATAGGATAAATAGGAAATAATTAACAGAGGGAAGGCATTAGAATTAAGAGAGGTTGGGGAAGGCTTCCCATAGAAGATGGGATTTACGGAAGCCAGGGAGATCAGTAGTCAGAATGAAGGAGGGAGAGGATTCCAGGCATGGGGCACAGCCAAAGAAAATGCCCAGAGCTGAGAGATGGAGTGTCTTGTTCATGAAATAGCCAGGAAGCCAATGTCATTGGATCAAAGAGTATCTGTTGAAGATAAAGGTGTAAGAAGGCTGAAAGGCAGGAGGGGGCTAGGTTAGGAAGGGCTTTGGATGCCAAACAAAGCATTTCGTATTTGATCCTGGAGGCAGTAGGGAGCCACTAATATCCTCCATTCTAAAGCCCTTTTCAACTTCAACATTCTGTGTTCTAAGGTCCCATCACTGGGCTGAGTTCAAGGTTCCTTCCACTCTGATATTCTAAGTTCTAGCAACTCTCTTAACTCTTTTTATGTCAATTGTAGGATCCTTTCCAGCTCCAATGGTCAATGTTCTAAAGTGTTTCCCAGATCATACGTTATGTCTAAGAGAGCTGGTATTTATATAGCATTTTAATGTTTGCAAAGCTCTTTATAAATATCTGATTCTGGCAATAACCCTGGGAAGTAAGTGCTCTTATTATCCCCATCTTACAGATAAGGAGGCTGAGGCAGACACAGCTTAGGTGACTTATGCAGGGCAATAGAGTTAGTAAGCATCTGAGGCAGGATGTGAACACGACGTCTTCCTGATTCCAGGTCCAGCATTCTATCCACCGTACCACCTAGTTGCCTCATAAGATTCCTTCCTAGCTCTATCATTTCACTTTAAGCCCCCTCCCAGCTCTGACCTTCCATGTTCTAAGCCCCCTTCCAGACCTGACCTTCCATGTTCTAAGCCCCCTTCCATCTATGACATTCTGTGT